GTTTGGGCCCTCTGAAAGCTTCTTTAGGGCTCAGTGGAGCTCCTTAGGAGGCTTTGTTTAAAGCAAGCTCATGAGCCCTGCGACACTTGCACGGTAATTGAGCCTGTCGCAGACATTTGGCGAGAGTTGAGAAAGGCCCCGAAGATTTCGTTTCACGCTTTGAACGAAAATTGTGTCAGCACTCCAAAACTTATGAAAATCAGCTGTAAAATGTAATAAAGAACGAACTAGGAACATGGAATGAATCACAGCATTGACATTTCCGAGTCTGGACTCGGAGTCTTGAAGATTTTGGCGACTGCGAGTCAGACTCTGGTTTAAACTGCACGCTCCAACCGAGTCTGACCTCACGGACATTCTCAGAAAGGTACCCCCATTTTTTTCCCCGACTCCAAAATCTCATCGGATCTGTATCGATCTCAGGGGGTGCCCGGTCCGAGGTTGGGGGGGGGGGCAAGCTGCCCCGCTTGCCCCCCCCCGTGGCGACGCTAATGCTCAAAAACCTCTATGGGCCCCCTCACGCTTGGGGTAGGCTTCCTGAAGCATAAAATATCTGAGTCTTGAGATGGGCCCATTAGACATGAACTGGGCCATCAATATACATGTGGTGAGTTGACCTATATCAAACATGATATCGGCTCAATCAGGATTGGGATAGGCCCTCTCAGACCCAGACCAGGCACGGAGTACGGACCCTCCCACACATAGGATGATCCTTTCATTCCTGGGATGAGTCTTTTCAGGCCTGAAATGGGCCCCTCTCAGGCCTGAAGTGGACCCTCTCAGGCCTCAAATAGGTCCTCTAGGGCCTGAAATGGGCCCTCTCAGGCCTGACATTAGCCCTCTCAGACCTGAAATGGGCCCTCAGACCTGAAATGGGCCCCCTCAGCCCGTAAATGGTCCCTATCATGTCGAAAAAGGGCCCCCTGGCCCCTCATACCGTAACTGGGCCCTCTCAGGTCTGAAATGGTGCCTCTTATGCCTGAAATGGGCCCTCTCTGGCCTCAAACGGGCCCTCTCTGGCCTAAAACGGGCCCTCTCTGGCCTCAAACAGGCCCTCTAGGGCATGAAATGAGCCCTCTCAAGCTTGAAATGGCCCCCTCAGGCCAAAAATGGGCCCCTCTCAGGCCTGAAATGGGCCCCTCTCAGGCCTGAAATGGGCCCCTCTCAGGCCTGAAATGGGCCCTATCAGGCCTCAAGCATGCCATCTAGGGCCTGAAATGGACCCCTTCAGGCCTGAAATGGGCCCTCTCAGGCCTGAAATGGCCCCTCTCAAGCCTCAAACAGGCCCTCTAGGGACTGAATTGGGCCCTCTCAAGCTTCAACTGGGCCCCTTCAGGCCTGAAATGGGCCCTCACATACCTGAAATGGACCCTCTTAGGCCTGAAATGGCCCTTTCATGCCATGGAACGGGCCCTCCTAGGCCTTGGATTAGTTCAATCGGGCCTTGGATCACCCCTTAAAACATAAAATGGGACTATATATCCTAAGGGGGGGGGGGGGCTATCAGGCCTGAAGACTGTTTTTCAGTCCTATGGCGGACCTTGACATTAGTGATAAAAAGATTGTCAGGCTGCATAACGTTACAGTTCGAATCGACGGTGGGCCCCTAGGATAAGAGACGGGGGTGAGATCTCACCCCTTTCACCCCCCCCCCCCCTGGCTGCGCCACTGATGAATGTAATGAAACAGTAACGGATGCTGCACAATGGGCCGTAATCTGTCCTCTAAGCAAATGAAAAATGATGCCGTTTGGTCTATTTGCGAAACAAGTAGGAATCGTTTCAATCTGAGGGATCATCGGAATCAACGAGAATCTATCCTTCTCTCGTAAACTTAGTGTGGAATGGTACTTGCCTCTGCGTCCAAACGTGCTCTCTCCCAGACATCCCACCAGCTGCTTGGCTCCGGGTCTGGTCAGCGGTGGGTGTGCCTGCCGTGGTGAGCCCTGATGGGTGGCAATCCGCGCTATCACCGCTGTCGTCGTCCCCCGGTGCCTCAGTGCAGCGGCCAGCGGGGCTGCCATCGCTACCACTGCAGAAACCAGCGGGTGCCTCACTCCCGACCTCTCAACCGGGCAGGACGTGGCCCGCTACCCTTTATAGTTATACGGTCCATAGATGCAACAGAAAATGTAGGTAATTAGTGGGTCGTCACGTCCTCTTTTCTGAAGCGTGTCTCTCACCCGTTTCCTTGTAACCGCTGTGTCTTCGGCGGTGCCCATTGCCTGACGCTATGAATGGTCACATCGACCGCTGTGCCGCCGCGCCCCCTCCCCCCCTCCCCGGTGGGGGTCGCCGACAGCCGTTTTTACCGCACCACCTCCTAACAACCGCCTGAATGCACCGACCATCGAGCTGTTTGTGGTGACGTCATAAGAGCGGCCGGTCGGGTCTGACCGGGCAGGGCTCGGTCGGGTCGATCGGGGGTCCCACGGGGTCGCGGTAGTGCCACTGCCACGGCCGCTGCCATTGGCACTGGCGCGGTGCGAACGACCCACAGGAGGTGTAGGGTCAACGGCACGGCGCTGGGCGCGGCATGGACCATGCACGCGTGGGGTCGATAGGGGGAGCGGTGCCGACCCCATATGGTGAATGGTGAGACCTGCTGGCCTGACTGTCTGGCTGCTCATACCGGCTAGTAACTGAGCTGTTCTCTGCTTACAACAGAGCGTCCACGATTATCAATTCATTGGTCTATTTGCTGGAAATGGCCAGACAGTGACATTGGCACAGTCGACTCACGGTGAATTTTAAACGTCATGGGATATGTTATTCAGCATCCACTCGAAGCCGGCCCGGCGACCGTTTTCCACTCGTCGATATTTGATACGCCGATGATCGTTCTGTTGCTGGTCACGCCGCTTCGGTCCAGTCGCAGTTCTGAGAACTGTTTGGACCGAACCCGTTCCCAGAGGCTCTGTAGACATAAACCACGACAATTACTGCAGACACACAGATACCGACATACCTGCGCGGTTTCATAAACTTTTACGGGGAAATACCCTGACCACCGCTGTTTATTACAGGAACGTCCTAAGCGTGGAGCGTATGCCTGCGTAGTTTTTTTTTTTTTCATTTCGCGGTACGGTGACTGTGGCCGATTTCATATCGTGTTCTACAGACCTCTACGTGACAGTGATTGGTCTGACCTGACCGGGGCTGATCTCGGTTAGACTAGGGCTAGACAAGCTTCGGGGAAGGCCCTTCTCGATTCCTCCGGTGCATAAACTGTCTGCAGAACAATGGAAAATGACGACATCTCGGCCAGCGAATCCGTGACATCGCAGTTAGTAAATTACTAGAGTGGATGGGTGCTGGTATGTACTATGTACCCACCCTCCGGGAAGGAGGACGATGAGTACCGGTCCTCACTCACTCACTCATTAATTCATTAATTCATTCATACATTCATTCATTCACTCGTTCACTCATTCATTCATTAATTCACTCACTCACTCACACTCACTCACTCACTCACTCACTCTCACTCTCACTCTCACTCTCACTCTCTCTCTTTCTCTCTCTCTCTCTCTCTCTCTCTCTCTCTCTCTCTCTCTCTCTCTCTCTCTCTCTCTCTCTCTCTCTCTCTCTCTCTCTCTCTCTCTCTCTCTCTCCAAACCAAGCTGTTTCTTTTCAGCGGACAGGGTACACAATGCTCGTGCTTTTGTTTTTCATATTCACTTCACGGTGACGGTCAATTTTAAGCATAATTGTCCTTTTGCATGAAGGTTCCTTATGCATGAGACATGTTTTGTAGTAACTGACACTAAATATATTTGGTGAATCGACATAACAACAAACGTCATCATTTTAACACGTCAGGTTAACGTAATAATAAGTAAAAGTACGCATATGTATGCCTTTACACCAGAAGCAGTATACAAGCTGAAATGGCATCAGTCTGTCTATTTGCTTAGTATGTACAAACGATGCGATAGCCGTACTTATAGCTGCAATCAGTATAAACAAAGTATGTATATTGTATAATGTTTAATTATTTCAGGTGGGCATGACTCAGGCGACTGGGCCACAAACCTCGCACCCGACGTTAACCGCACGCTGTCCGCACGCATTGTATTTTAGTGTTTTGCATCAATAGGAAGGGTATCAATACAACACAGCAAGGCACCGTGTCCGCTGCCACGTTATGTGGGTGTACTTTACACATCGGCACAAACAACACTGGACGTCCGACGGTGAGGCACTTGGCTATCACAGAGCTGTGCGACTATATAAGGCATACATAACAGGTTCAATCAGTCTGTGCTGATTGCTCCCCTTCCCTGGCCATCTAGCTGAACCGATAAGGACGTTTGAGGAGTGCCTCCATCGCTTGAAATAAATAACATAAAATTCCAGAGCAAAACTGTTCCCAGCATACTTATACAGAACATGAAATGAAACACAAGTTACGGAAACTCAAGGCCCACCAAGCACTGCCGTAACACACCGACCAAGTGCGTGGGCTAACCCCGTTGTATGAATAATGACACCGCGCCGTTCTGCTTTGCGAACAACTTGCCCTAATCATTATGTACCCCAGTGATATCCAGACCGACTCCTTCAGACCTTGACACGGCCGTCCTGGGACTCCCGGATCCTGACCACCGATCGGTTGGGATCTGACCGTCCCGGTCTGACCCTGACCCCGACCCGGGGCGGCTCAGTCCCCGGCGCGCCATCCTCCGCCCCGGGCGCGTGCTTTCCGAGTGGTCCGTCGCTGCCGGCGGCCCGCGGCTGTGCTGACCTATAGCCGGGGGATACTAGCGGAAAACACGCCGGTAACATCATCTCGGTGACCACAGCAGGAGGTGTCAGAACCCATCGAAGGTCACATGGACACGCACTGTCCCTCAGGTGGTGATGGGTGAAACCTGTAGCGCCTGAACCGTTGAAATTTGTGGTCAGTAGCTCATCCTGTCGAGGACTGACGGTTGTTCTCTGCAGTAGCTGCTTCTGAACGGATCACGGGGGGTATGCGTCTGTCCGGCCGGTCGCGGGCTGCTGATACATTCGGCCGGCGCTGGTACCGAGGTAGCTGTGGCGGCGGTAGCAGTGTCACCCACATACAGCCTTCTCAGAGCTGCCTCGCTGCCAGGACTGCCAGCAGCGGCAGCAGCAGGCTGCTGTGTCACCCACATACAGCCGTCTCAGAGCTGCCTCGCTGCCAGAACTGCCAGCAGCGGCGGCAGCAGGCTGGCGAGCACCTCAGACGGCCGTGTGAGTCCCGCCGAGCCGCCGTACCGCGGCTGCGTGTCGCCCTCGCCGTACCCTATAACTGGGCACAACGGCATAACGTCAGGGGCCGAGTATGGAGGACGAAACAGCGGCACTTCCTGTACCCTATAACTGGGCACAGCGGCATGGTGTCAGGGGACGGGTATAGACAGAACAGCGGCACTTCCTGTACCCTATAACTGGGCACAACGGCATAACGTCAGGGGCCGAGTATGGAGGACGAAACAGCGGCAGTCGGCACTTCCTGTGCCCTATAACTGGGCGGCACAGGTCAGGGTAATGGGAACAATTATGCATACAGAAGACACGGGACAGTAGGTGAACTTTATGTAATATCACTGTCTATCCGGAACGGAATATAACAGCACATCGGGAAGACGAGAACGGCCATTAACCCGCGCCCTGGTGGGGTCCGTTTATAACGCGACCTGGTGGGGGGGGGGGGGGGCTATTTTTTGCCCCCCCTCGTATCTCCGAAACTACTGGACGGATCCGCAAAATTCAAACGGCGTTCGATAGCCCTGTCAAATTTGTTGAGGGAAACCAAATTTTATTGACCTCGGGGTCACCGATGACGTCACAGGTCAGGTCAAAGATAAAATGTTTCACCGTTCACGGGGTTTCTAGGGAAAGCGCTATAACACCGAGTAAAACGCATTTTGTCGAAAATCAGCGATAAGACGTCAGTTGTCTAGTACATATGTTGCTATTAGAGGTCACTGGTCATACCAGGTCAGGTCACAGGTCAGGTCACCAAAGGTCACCAAGGGTCACCACATGAACCCAACTTTACTAAGGTTGTGCGATGCATGTTTTATGGCCAGTTTTTCATTTCCAACCCAATGGTGTTGGTTATAAGACCATCAGGTACGGTTTAGGTCACTTTCTGGTGGACGTCAGGTCAAGGTCAGGTCAAAAAAGGTCAAATTTCAAAGTTGATATTTTTGCATAAAATGGGTATCAATTCGATGCAGCTCGTCACGGGGAGTCTAATGGTGGTCTTTGTTTTGCACTACGAGGTCTAGAATTGCTAAAAATTGAGTTTGAAAATTTGACGTCATCAATTTTGAACAGTTTTTTCGCTATAACTTCGCCAAAAAAAGAGGTATCAATCTAAAATTTGGTATGTGGATGGAAGGTGGTAAGGACTATCACATATATTCCGGTTTTTGCGAAATTCAAAAAACTTTTTGGATTTTTTGACTATTATATCCGAAAAATCTATTTTTTGATTTTTGGGGGTCAAAATAAAAAAAAATTCAAAAATCCGAGATAGCAGTTTTGTAGCCCTGTCAATTCTACAGCTTTTATATCCTAAACATTTTTCTGTATTTGCAAAGCTATAGGCCTGACAGCTCTTCCCGCGAAACCCTTTTTTGGGTCGAAAACGGCAGAACATGACGTCACTCTGACGTCATTTCCGGCCAACCTATCATAGCTTTTGGAAAATTTTTGGTCACAATGTGTAAAATTGATGTCCGGGAGGGTACTGAAAGTTTGGTGACGATCGGCGCAGCGGTTCTGGAGATATATTGAAAAGTCTGGAGGGGGGGCAAAAAATAGCCCCCCCCCCCACCAGGTCGCGGGTTAAGTGTGGAAGGCCCTGAGTTATGGCAGCTCACAGGATGGCTCAGAACCGAGCGGTTGTTTGCAGTTGGCAGGACAACGTAATTTGTGAGTACCCTGCAAGGCACGAGGTTGTTGTGGGCCATACAGTAAATATCATGCAAATGCAGCTTCTCATTAGCAATGGAAAGTCATAAAAACTGGCTCATATAAGCTAAACTAACGTTGCTGAGCGTGAACCGACAACATGCGAGAAAATAAGAACAAAAGTAAACGTAACTTACGTGCAACAAACGTAACTCAAGTCGTTATGTGGCTTGAAAAATAAATGGAGGCGACTCTGTCTGAAAAACAAAACAAAAATGGCATGCGCTTATCAAACACACAAATTTCGCCGACTAGAGTATCAACAGAAAGCTTCAAAACACAAGGAACCATTGCAGTACAATGGCGATGGTCCAACACAAAAGATCATTACAGAGGCCTTCAGGTAGTCGATATTTCATAAACATGCACCGTTCAACATTGCAGGACATCGCCCATGCCATTCACTGAATAGCGACCGCTTGGCAGAGTTTCCAATCCGCACTCCGAAAGACCGCTAGTTGCTGATCCATAAACTTCACCCATTTACCCTGAGAGCTGCGACAGTCTTCTACAAAGCGTAAAGCTTCCCGTCATGCTTGGTAAAACCATCGCGTCGGCCACTGCCAGTGCCTAATGTAGGCATGTGCATATGAAAGATCACCTCTCCTTATTTCTAATCTCTACTGCCAGGAGCGCCGCACCTCTCCGACTCTCGGCGGCGTGGCGCGGCGCGTTTGTTGTGATAGCGCCCCTGTTTGACGCAGTCGGGTAAACGTGGCCGCTGCGCCGAATACGTCCCGGACTCTGGGTCACGATCGCAGGGCCCTCGACAGAGACACAATCAGCCTCTGTGTGATTCTGGCACGGGATGGTATTAGAGCACGCTGTTCGGTGGTAGGCCTGTACTTAAAGAGGCCCTTGCCTATTGGAGTGGATGCGGTACGCACATGGAGGTATGTGGACTTGGGTGACCCCTGCCAGATGGATTGAGTGATGACTGAAATGATGAAAGGCGTGCAATGAAATGGTCTAAAGTGGCCAGGCATTGCTGGTTCCAGTCATTATATGACGTTAATATTTGAAAAATAACGTTATGGGATCCGAGTTCTGTCATCGTTGGCTGTCATTTTAAAGGGACCCTCCCACCTTCAAAAAAGTTAATGAATTGGCATAAAAGTGATGTCGCTCGGTTCAGAAAGAGCAAAAACGAATATCTACCAAATTTCATTGAAAAATATTCACCGGTTTTCAAGATATTATACTTTTACTTTTGTTTACTTTTTGGGATCTCCGCTGTTCCTAGCGACTTTATTTGAAAGTGCGGCATTTGTTGCGCGCAAAGCAGCATATACCTACCACCGCGTGCTACAAAACGTTTTAGTCAAACATATAAAAATCGTTAGATATCTGCGATGACGTCACACATTCAGAGGGGTATTCCTATGCATTAGCCCCTCTGAATCAAAATGCTGCAATTTTGAAATTCAATATTTCCGATTTAAGGCATTTCTCGATGTTGTGAGTGCCGAAACCGGTAATTGTGAGCCAGGGACCCCATTTTGGCTATCTCAACTCAAATCTAATGTTAAGGTGGGAGGGTCCCTTTAAGACGTTCCTCGTTTATTTCCAGCTTATTTTGTGTTTATCGCTCTCAACTTGCAAATGACTTCTATTATTAATGTTTTATTTGAGTAACGTCATGTAACCAATTTGAGCTTTCGGCAGGTGACCGTTAATCATATTGCATGGTCGTTACATCAGTGACAGTCCTGTAACCGCGTCAAAGTGATGCCGCGCTATCGCTGCGTGACAGCTGTCGGCGTGACGCAGCAGGTTCCGTTACATCCGTCACACAGGGCCGGGAGCACCGAACTGGAACGGACCCCGTGCAGGGCACTCTGCTCATCGGGGAATGGAGCCATTTGTGCGGAATGTTGCCCGAGCTAGTGAAACGGGAGGGGAGCAGAATAGAGGGCTATACGCCCATTCAAACTACAGAAACGTTAGGGTACGCGGAAATTACGCCGGCTAAAGAGCAGCACTGCCCTGTTATCGTTTCGATTTGAACGGTTTTCTGTGAGCGAACTTTACTGACTCAAACTGTCTTGATTTGTGACAGATATTTGGATCCATACAATCAACGAATAGGGCACGTACCTTGCAAGCCAGGCCGGGAACCGGAACTCTGTTCACCAATATTTCATTCAGCGTTATGTGCGTACATTTGCTTACATACATTTATTTACACTGAGCGATGCCCATAGTTGGCCGCGGCCGTGTGGACCGTGAGGAGTTGCGTGCCGGTGTTACATTTGACCTGTAACACCTGCACTGTCCGGCGGGCCCTGCAGCACCGTCCTCGACCTGAATCGGCCGACATGGGGGGGGGGGTCGACACTGGGCCGCCGACGGCTGGACTGTTACCCTTTGTTGGGGCGGTAGTCATAGCAAGGGCTGACGTCACTCAGCGTCCCGCTCCGGTCGCCGACGGACCCACCTCCGGTCCCACAGGTCCCACCGCCAGTCCCACAGCTGTCATATCTGTCCCACAGCTGTCCCAACGCCGGTCCCACAGGAACCACCATCTGTCCCACAGCTCTCCCACCATCTGTCCCACAGGTCCTACCGCCAGTCTCACAGGTCCCATCTGTCCCACAGCTGTCCCACCGTCTGTCCTACAGGTCCCATCTGTCCCACAGCTGTCCAACCGCCAGTCCCACAGGTCCCACCGCCAGTTCCACAGGTCCCACCACGAGTCCCACAGGACCCACCATCTGTCCCACAGCTGTCCCATCTGTCCCACATCTGTCCCATCTGTCCCACAGCTGTCCCATCTGTCCCACAGCTGTCCCATCTGTCCCACAGCTGTCCCATCGCCAGTCCCACAGGTCTCACCGCCAGTCCCACAGGTCCCACCATCTGTCCCACAGGACCCACCGCCAGTCCCACAGGTCCCACCGCCAGTCCCACAGGTCCCACCACGAGTCCCACAGGACCCACCATCTGTCCCACCGCCAGTCCCACAGGGCCCACCATCTGTCCCACAGGACCCACCATCTGTCCCACCGCCAGTCCCACAGGACCCACCATCTGTCCCACCGCCAGTCCCACAGGACCCACCATATGTCCCACAGGACCCACCATCTGTCCCACGCTGCACGCCCCTACTCGGTGCTCTGCAAATCGTACTTTTTTATCTTCCTGACTCATCAGCTTTGCAAAGAAAAATCAAAGAAGCCTGGAAAAGCTGCTATGCTAGACTCCATACTCTGCTTTAGAAGTCGATTGTTTACTGTGGGGGTAAGAGTAAAAAAGGTTATACATACAGCCTGCTGGACGTTTGCCGAGCTATGTGAATTTCCAGACGTTTCTGGTTGGATGTTGCTCCTGTCAAGCCTTAGCCTCTCGCCGGTGCATGCCGGTTATGTAAGTGATGACGATGTAGAGGCTAGAGCCAGGAGTTTGTTTGCTAAAAATTCCCATACAATTTTGCATTTGCTGCCGTGTCTGAACAGAGTAACATAAGTGTGGATTTATATTTAAATTAGTTTTTACCTACACATAATCATCCTGCTACATTATTCATATGAAGGGATAGTTTCCCAATAGGACAATAGCAGTTGTTTTGCAGGTAAGTGTTGGTCCCTGCCTTCTGCAGCACTCGGTAAATACAGTTTCATTTCTGAGGCCATGGTCGGTAACAGCATTGAGCCCACTGGATGGCCGCATTGATTTTCCCCAGTACCTCACGGGTACGACTCATGCCATTTCGGCACGGATGTCTGCCATCGATTCCCAGGTGCTAGTGTCGGGCACATGGTGGAGACCAATAACTTATACAGATATGTCGGACTGGGATTTAATTATGACTGACGCCTCAAAAGGGCAGGGAATTTAAAAGATAAGCGGTCATGGCAATTAATAGACTGTAGCAAATCCACAGGGCACAGGCCAAAACTACCAGACTGGCATGCAGTTCTAATAGGGACGTGCAATGCATTATTCGTCGATTCAGCAATTTAATTAAGCGGGTTCACGGATTCCATAAAACAATTTTCTTGTACTGTCTTACTTATTTTCTTGCCTTGTCTTGTCGTAACCTTCATGCTACATAAGGGTCAGTTTGAATAACTGACGAAATTATGCTCAGACATGCAGTTTGGGTGACCCATGCATTTTTCAGCACAAGTTCCGAGCTGCGCAAATGGAGCCATTTTCAAAGCAGTCTCGCTACACTATTGTGTGATCGGTGCTTAGAGATTTTTTTTCGTGTGAAAGCGGACCTAAATACTCACTTTCCATGCCGTTTTGCCGATAAACCACATTTCTTGTCGTGCTATTGATAGCATAACATGAGCTTGCGGTGCAATACATAGATTCAACTAAAATTAGGCTAGTCAGGACGAGCTGTCATCAAGCGTACATTGGCAGTGTTGTTTAGCGTGCACTGTGCAGCCATTGTGTCGGCATATCGCTACCTCATGCTTTATCTCTTCAGCAGTGACCACCGCCTGTCGATTGTCTCACCTGTGTCTCGGTATGTCTCAGTATGTCTCACCTGTGTCTCGGTATGTCTCACCTGTGTCTCAATGTGTTTCGGTATGCCTCACCTGTGTCTTGGTATGTCTCAGTATAGCCCAGTATGTCTCGGTGTCTCTGTGTGTCTCACCTGTGTCTCGGTATGTCTCATTATGTCTCACCTGTGTGTAGGTATGTCTCAGTATGTCTCACCTGTGTCTCGGTATGTCTCTGTGTGTCTCACCTGTGTCTCGGTATGTCTCGTCGGCCGAAATGTCTCCCCGCTGCTGGCTGGCGGCCGGCTGCTGCTGGTGGATGGACCCCTGGTTGTCCGGACAGCCGAACCACCACTCACCCGTATTGCGAGGGTACCCCCCGGTCAGCTGCGAACCGATAGAGAGGGGTGGTGAGAGGGGTGCACTGAGGGGACAGGGAGCCGTCAGAGGGGTGCACTGAGGTACATACACTGAGGGGACAGGAAGCCGTCAGAGGGGTGCGCTGAGGGACAGGGAGCCGTCAGAGGGGTGCACTGAGGGGACAGGAAGCCGTCAGAGGGGTGCACTGAGGGGACAGGAAGCCGTCAGAGGGGTGCGCTGAGGGGACAGGAAGCCGTCAGAGGGGTGCACTGAGGGGACAGGAAGCCGTCAGATGGGTGCACTGAGGGGACAGGAAGCCGTCAGAGGGGTGCACTGAGGGGACAGGAAGCCGTCAGAGGGGTGCACTGAGGGGACAGGAAGCCGTCAGAGGGGTGCACTGAGGGGACAGGAAGCCGTCAGAGGGGTGCACTGAGGGGACAGGAAGCCGTCAGAGGGGTTCACTGAGGGGATATGGAATCGTCAGCTGAACCACCACTCGCCCGGTTCACGGTGAACGCTGGTCAGCTGCGAACCGACAGAGAACGAGAAAAATTAACGCTGATTTTAATTGGAACTTAGTGCGAAGTGAGGTAAAAGAGCTTTATCGCTAAGTGATGTTGCTTCTCTTTTTTTAATTACGCTTCAACTTTTCAAAAGTGAAATATGCGACTGAAATTATATTTTTTAGGATATCTAGCACCTCACTCACTGCTTTATTGATAAATGGTTACTGAGAATACTGAGTGACATTTTTTAGGTGGATGAATAAAGAAAACAATGCGTCATCTGGTTTAAACAAAACGTCATCTGGTAGACCCCCACTCACCCTCAGAGGTCGGTCTCGTATTTTGTAGTAGGACCCCCCTTTGAAGAAGTAGGTCCTGCCGTTTTTCCACGTGTTCACAGTGTCCAGGTTGCCCGGTAGTCCTCTCCACACGCGAATATTCTGCGGGTATTTATCGCTAACACCCTGGCCACCAGATTTGGCAGCCTCGTAGTCAAACCGCCAGTACTGGTCACCCTTGAAGAAGTAGATCTTTTTGTTTCGCTTCCACGTGAACGCTGCGTCGATGTCGTTCGGGATGCCCTGGAACTCCTCCGAGATGGGTTTTGGGTATCCCTCGTCCACCGTGGGCAGGTTGGTCATCCGCCACACCTCGTCTCCCTGTAGAGGGATGAAAGAGAAATGTCAACCGTGCTTAGCATGTTAGGGAGATAGTTTGATTGATAATCGTCATGTCAACCGATTATCAAATTTTCATACACAACTGGCCGATTTTACTAATATCCTCCTGTCAGTTGCTATGTTTCCCTAATAATGTTAACTCTGATAATGCTGAGGCAAAGAAGCGCCATTCTCCACTAAAACTCGCTGTACCTACCTTGAAGAAGAAGACCAGCTCCTTGGAGTTCCGTCTAGGGGTGTACACCATGGCGTCGTCAAGGTCGTCCGGCAGGCCGCCCCAGCGGTCGGCGATCCTCTGCGGGTAGCCCTCGGCCACGGCGATGTCCGTCAGCCGCCAGTAGTCGCCGCCCTTGAAGACGTACGTCTCGCGGCTGGTCTTCACCGACACGGTGATTATGGCGTCCACGGAGCTGTCCTCGCAGAGCGCGGCGTTCTCGGACTCCCGGGCGTCCACCTCGCCCCCGCCGCCGTCCTCGCCGTCCGTCTCGTCACCGCCGCCCCCGTCACCGCCCCCGCCCGAATCTGTGTCCGGGGGTCCGTCCGTGTCCGGCGCCGGAGCAGGCTGCTCCTCGGGCGGACCGTACATACTCTGTGGACAGAGGAAGTGGAGGCGTGGCGTGCGCAGGATACACGCGTATCGCGGATTGGAGCTCTCATTACAGAATTCACGACGAATGTGGGATCTGTTGGCCAGAGAAGATGCGTCCCTTTGGTCCTTGTCAAGACTCAATGTCGTATGGCCTGTTATGTCAACAATTAGCGGAAGTGGGCCATCGTTCATTCACCGCCTAACACTTTATTTCTGTTGGATATTACACTACGGCGACTGTCGATCGTGATATTCCTGTGACTTTAAACGACATTTTCATTGTTTCTGTCAAGCACTGTTCTGAAACTCGCACACACATCGCCACTCACTCACACACGCACATCTCACCTGAATGCCTTTGATGTCGTCCTGTTTGATGATGTCCCGGTTGACCCCGGGCGGACGGTAGAAGGGCGCCATCAGCGCGTCGTTCACCTCGCTGTGCGCCAGACCCAGGCTGTGACCGAACTCGTGCGCCGCCACCGTGAACAGGTCCACGCCGTTCCGGCCGCCGGGCGTCACGATGAAGCTCTCACTCTTGTCAAAGTGCGCGTCGCCGCCGTAGATGGGGAAGAAGGCGTGTGCCAGCGTGCCGCCCGGGCCGTCGAAGGCGTCGCCGTCGCCGTGATCGCCGTACTCAAATCTGAGAAGCGTGAATGAAGTGCATATAAAGACCGTGCTCCAAGAACCCATTTTGTCCGAAGCGACTACTGCGTTGATTCAGCGGCGAATGCTACAGCAAGTGGTGACTGGCAACTGATACCTGTATTGGTAGCTGGGATGTTCTGTAATATAATCGTCGGATCTGCAAGCGAGACACGCTGAAGTCGATGAAGTCAGTCTCACCTGACGTCGATGTTTGCCTTGCTGTTGGTGGACGCGGCGATCTCCGTGAAGGTCAGCGCCGAGACGTCCGCCCATGCCTGGAAGGCGTCACTGATGGCCTTCCTGGTCAGCTCGCGGTCCCTGTTCTTGGGCCAGTTGACGATCTTGTAGGTCAGGGCCTTGTTCCTCCATCTGGACCCTGTGGTCATGGAAACGCACCGGGGCGATATGTATGATTCAAACAAGCATGCTGTCGTACTCGCTAAAAAGGAACAAACATTGGCATATAGGTCAAGGCTGCAAATTATGAATATCCATTAGTATTTTGACTGGTGTAGTGTTGACCAATTCACTTGAACTTATAATCAATATCCTCACGTACCGTGACCTGGGTGGTCGTGCTATTCAATCGTCGTCCTCACCTTGAAGGGCGTACCGTTTCCTGCGACGTTGCCGTTTGGGCGGGGCCGCCTTATCGGGAACTCCACAGCGGGGCTGCTGCATCTTAGCCACCGTGGCGTCATCCATGACCCCTGTGTGCAGGTCAGATCAGGTCACCCTGAGGTCTGCAGCGGCTCCATGTAACATCGCCTAGCGGTCCCATCAGAGTGAGTGTGCGTAGCGCAATTCCGTAACATTCAGTGATACGGTAGCGCTGATAGCACTGTTCTTGTGTCACCTCCAGTGGGCGTTATCATGAGACGAAACTTTGTGACGATAAAAAGACAACTGCCGCATTGCCCAAGCATCAACATGCCTTAGTAAGGTATGGTCTGCACACCACTCACTGACCGGTGACGGGCAGACCGGCGAACTGTTGAAACTCGGCCAGTTTGGAGGAGAGCGACTGCAGCGACCCGAACCGGCTCTCTGTCGGGCTCACCCAGCCAAACTTGGCCAGGTACGCCTGTCGGATGCATCGGTGGGATGGGGAGCCTGATTTAATGCCCTATTTTCATTCCTTTATCTATCCTCTATCTATAGATTCATTCATTAATTCATTCATTCATTCGACTTTATCAGTTCATTTGTTCAAACCTCAGCCTCATTCATTCACTTATCATCTTCCATTAATTCAATCAATAAATCAATCAATCAGCATTCTTCATTCATTCATTCATTCATACCTGCTACCCCTGCTAGGCCTCTGGTGCCCCTGACAGACCCATGGTGCCCCTGCGAGGCCGGTGGTGCCCCTGGCAGGTCTCTGGTGTCCCTGACAGACCTGGGGTGCCCCTGACAAGCCTGCGGGGCCCCTCACAGGCCCGTGGTGCCCTTGCTAGGCCTGTGGTGCCCCTGGCGGGCTGGTGGTGCCCGGTGCCCCTGCTAGGTCGGTGGTGCCCCTGACAGGCCTGTGGTGCCCCCGGGCACCAAGGGGGTCATGACTCATGTGGCCCCCCTTGGATCTGCCACTGATACGTTATGGCTTATGCAATATGCAATTGCAGGCACTTGGTATCCCTCACTTATCCCTTATTGGGGGCTCTGGCGGGCTCCTGAGGGCCCACGTCTATCTCCGGGAGCCCTAGACGGGCTCCTTTGGGTCCTTTCAGTCCACTAGAGCATAAGAGGTCTCCACTCGAGTCCTATACATCTGAGGGCGTACCCTGACGTCTGAGGTACCCAACTGCAGCTCCAATGGTCTCTTACACTGGCGGATCCAGGGAGGGGGCATTGAGGGTCATGCCCCCTTCCCAGAGGCCTAAAGTGGCCCGTTTGCCCCCTCCCCCAAACGATAATGAAACATAGTTCAATCAGTGCGTGGCCCAGGAGCCGAGTTAGACAGGGGGTGTTTTACCACCTCCCGGCCCGCAAAGGGACCCAAGCACTGACTCGAAGCGGGTTAACTGGTCGACAAAAGCAATGGTAAGTGTTTACAAAGTAATATAAAGGCATGGGTCGGGTGGGCTACCATTTATATATTTTTATTTTTAGTAAAAAAAAAAATATTCATAGTGTCAGGGCTGTGACGAAAAATAAGTGGCCTAAATCCGATGAGAAAACAGGATTTGGGGGTACCCTAGGTTTGGCTCCTGCATGAGTTGGCCCCCCCCCAAAACGCAAGCCTGGATCCGCCAGTGAGAGAGAGAGAGAGAGAGAGAGAGAGAGAGAGAGAGAGAGAGAGAGAGAGAGAGAGAGAGAGAGAGAGAGAAAGAGAAAGAGAGAGAGAGAGAGAGAGAGAGAGACCTGCACGTGCGGAAGGGCGAGAGGGTTCTTCCAACTGGCCTGTGCACGGCACCCTACTAACCGGTCACTAGCGGTGTGCCAAACTTGAAGGCAATCGACCCAGCCGTTCTCGAGATCTGAAGGCGGCATCCTACACGTGCAAACTGGGTCCAAAGTGGCTTTTGCGCGGTACCCTACCAACCGGTCCCTAATTGCGTACCAAATTTGAGCACAGTCGGCCCAGTCGTTCTCGAGATCTAGAACCGTCGCCAACAAAAAAGACGCAGATCAATCGGCCCAGCGGTTGCTGAGTTGTATGCCTCTCAAAAGCGCAACAGGCTGGGTCGGGCCGGGCCGGATTGGGCCGCTCATACTGAGATTTTTCCATGACATTGAGAAGACGCGCTTCGCCCCACCCGTTCCGTCGTATCTATCCTCATAATACTGAAATCCTTGTCATCCACGCAGTGACGCCGCAACCCCGTTCAAGGGTGGACAGACAGGTCAGGCAATTTATCCCATGCGGGCTGCTCCCTTGGAGCGCATCGCAGTCCCTGAGGGAGTCACTTGTAGCCGGGTGCAGGGAGTGCTTGGAGGCTGTGTGGCCTGTCCTTACGGACGGGCTCAGCCCCGGCGACTTAACCTGGTGCCTGCCCAGACCATTGGCTCCCCCGAATTCCAATCGTCCTTCTGGCTCCGAAATGATCTCATTGGACCGAAAGGGCCTAACAAAAGAAAAAAGAGTACGAGCGCACTTTGCGCTGGCTCGTAATCGTGCCGTCATAATTTTCCGGTCAGCATCTACCTGATCATATCGTTAACAAATTCTCCTAATTCCAAGCCGTTTACTAAGAAAATCCTCATGCCATTCGGATGGATATCCACCTACACCCTCATACATTCAAGACGTTCGTATGGCCGTCACCCACCTGTCCTTGGACGAGTCTCTCCTGGGGCTGCTGCTGCAGCTGCTCCAGACGGGCCGGCGAGGGCAGGCCGTCAGCCGGCAGCACGGCGAGCACGGCCGGCAGCACGGCGAGCACGGCCCGTGCTGGGCGCTTCATCACCGGCGCGGGGAGCGGGCGCCGCTGCCGACGACCGACTGGCGGCTCCGACCCCGCCGGCGGGCCGGCAGCGCCCACCGACGACGGCCGACCGGGCGGCACGCCCCCGCCCGGCGCGTGCCACGGCGCGTGGCGGGCTTATTGAGTGATAGTGCGGATACCGCGGCAGGTAGACCTCATCTGCCGCGCTCCACAGTATTGCTGATTAAAAAAAAAACTCCGGTGGTTGCGCTTGACTCTCAGAGATTTGCAGAAGTGTCCCGTATAATTCGGAAATGATCCACTAAGCAAGCTTCATCTTAGATTTGGTTAGGTCCGTTTTATCCATACACTCTGCACCAAAGCTGAAAAGCCGATCTACCGTCAACATATTCGAGTCTCCGCTACTGATCGCTAATCTTATACCGTATACCCGTAACAGACGCTGCACACATCAGCTTTTTATATTTGCACATCTGAGCAGCAGTCATTTCACTCATTTCCAACCACAACCCTGTTGCGTCACTATGACTGGCCTGCATCACTACAATGATCAATGAGGTATGTGAGTACGTTTCATGGTTTCCCTTTCCTAAGCGCTAGACGACGCAATGCCGTCCACGGCTCTGGCTGGTGGGCCAATGGTCAGTAGCGTACCCCTGAGGTGGTCGTCTCTTCTGTCGAGTCCTCGGTGCCTGGACATCCGAACCAGTCGGGCCCGGTCCGGCGGGGGTAGTCCGGGTACACCTGAAACAAACGCACAGAGGAAGCCATGAGATGGAGCGCGGTGGACGTTTGGGTACCTATTCATGCTGGCCCGGAACACTTTCAGACCTGCAATTGAAAATATAACTCGCCGTAACACGCCGATCTGCGGGGACTTTTGACGCAAGTCCGGCTGGAGTGATTTTTTATTTGATGAGCGTAGAAGTCTTGTCTTACGGTTCGTACTTTGATTTGAACATGTTGATCGCTAAGCTACTGACCTGAATGTTGGCATCACTGATTTTGTAGTAGTCGTCTCCTTTGAAAAAGTACGTTCGTCCGTCCTTCCACGTGTTGACGGCGTCGATATCGTCTGGCATTCCACCCCAAGTGTCAATGCTCTTTGGGTACACGTCTCTCACACCTCGAATGCCGGCCTTTGCCAGTTCGTAGTCGAACATCCAGTACTGGGACCCCTTGAAGAAGTAGATTTTGTGGTTCTTTCGCCAGGTGAAGGCGGCGTCGATTTTGTTCGGGATGCCGTTGAACTCTTCCGAGATGCGTTTTGGATAGCCCGTGTCGACGATTGGCATTTCGGTCATTCGCCACACTTGGCTACCCTGCAGGGGTAAACAAAGAAGGATATTTTAGGGAAGCTGACTTGACGTGTCGCAAATAATGACAGGGCAAAGGCCTGGAGTAAAAAAAAAAAAATGGCACAATAACATACATAAATTTAGTCCCCTGACAACCGAGCAAGAAGTGTCAGTTGGAAACGCAATTAGCTGATGCAGAAAATATCCCTAACACATGAACTGATTAAACCGTAAGAGAATCCATGAGCTCTGGTAAAAACTCAATGAATTATCGATGGAGTGGCTCCCATTTACCTACAGCTCATCCAGCATCCAGTCCCGATAATAAAGCACACCCGCGCTACCTTGAAGAAGAACAGGGTGTCCGCAGCAGCCGGCCGAGGGCTGTACACCAGAACGGCGTCCAGATAGGCGGGCACGCCTCCCCACCTATCGGCGATGTCCCGCGGGTAGCCGGCCATGACGCCGTCGTCCGCCAGCCGCCAGTAGGACGCTCCTCTGAACAGGTAGGTCCGCGACCGGCCTCGGACCGTCACCGTGAACAGCGCGTCCAAGGAGCCCTCCCGGCAGAGCGCCGGGTCCGCCTCTCCCCCCTGATGGTCGTCAGCCGCTCTGTCTCTGTCGTCACCGAGCCTGTCCGGGTTCTTTCCGTACAGCTCCTGGTGGAAAAGGAGGATATGCAGTAATCATGTCAAGCTCGTTATCGTGTGAAGCTCCAAATAGGGATGAGCAATTACACGCATGCAACAGCGTGCTTCATGGGCGAAGCATTTCATCTTAGCTTAGCCTGGCGAAGCTCATTGGTTTGATGCATCAATGCGTTGGGCCACTTTTGTCATCAGTCCAGCTTCAGCATGCTCCATTTCATATTTCGCTGTATTTTGTGCGTTTGACAATGTTCCTATTACCTGGGTGGCCTATACATATGTCGTCCTATGTCGTCCATGTTACCTGAATGGTCTCTGTGTCGTCCCAGTTACCTGGATGGCCTATATGTCGTCCTGTGTCCCGCTTATCTGGATGGCCATTGACCTTTATGTCGTCCCGGTTACCTAGACGTCCTGTATGTCGTTCATGTTACCTGTATGGCTTCTATGTGGTCCATATTACCTGGATGGCCTCAATGTCGTCCCAGTTACCTGGATGGCCTCTATGTCGTCCTGTGTGACGATGTCCCGGTCGAGGCTGGGCGGCTGGTAGAAGGGCGCCATCAGTGCCGTGGTCTCGTTACTGTGAGCCAGCCCCAGACTGTGACCGAACTCGTGAGTGGCCACGGTGAACAGGTCGAACCCCTCGCCGGTGGTCGGACCGATCACCCACGGCTCGCTCTTGTCAAAGTGCGCGTCGCCGCCGTAGATCGGGAAGAAGGCGTGCGCCAGCGTGCCGCCGGGGCCGTCGAACGGTTCGCCGTCACCGTGGTCGCTGTATTCGAACCTGCAGGGGTTAGATCGGAGTCAGCTTGATTAGTGATATCATTAGCACCTAATTTTGAAGATTAGCTAGGTGGATTGTTAACAAATCGTTAATGTCGACCCATCACTGTCGTCTGTTTTCAAAATACGTATTTCCGGCAACATACACGCATGCATCATTATAACACAAGTTCAATTTAGTCCTCGGCATCAAACATTTGGCATTACGCCCCCGTACCGACCCGATGGTGATGTCGGCCTTGACGTCGGAGCTGGCGTCCACCTCGGTGAAGGTCATGGCCGAGACGTCGCGCCAGGCGCGGAAGGCCTGCCGCAGCTCCTGCCGGGTGCGCTGGTGGTCCCGCTCGCTGGGCCAGCTGACGATCTTGTACTTGATCTCCCTCTTCCTCCACCGGGAGCCTGCCGAGGGTGGGCGGGGAGAGAGCGTCAGGCGAGCGGGAGCAATAGTTTAACTCGTTTGTGCACTCTAGATAACATCTGCCGGTAAAGTCCTCGGCTCGACTGCATCGCTGTCCTGTTGTAGAGCCGTCCGGTGTCCCGCCCCTGATGTATGGTCCCCTCCCACCGCGCAGTGTGGACTGTGGTGAGTCCCCACCAGCGCCCCGCCCCGAATCCGATAGAGCCGACTCGGTACCCGGGCCACTGCGGTCGCGGTATGCGCGATATGTGAGCTCTGTCAGCTGATACCGCGGTGCTGTCGCTACGTCAGACAGACAGGGCACCCGACAGTCCCCGCGCGCAGTGGGAGGGAGGGGGGGGGGGGGTGTTCGACACCTCCCCTCTCCTCTCCACCACCAGGACTCGCTGTGGGGAGCTGCTCGCCATTCAGGGTGAGGAGATGCGAGCTCTTGGAGTGGCCTGGTGGATCTTTCCGTTCCCGTGCTGTTTGTGCACTTTTAGGTGGGGAGAGAATGATGTTCCACGCCTTACGGGCCAGCACCTGACTGGAATGTTAGGCTGTGCCGCTCAACACGCAGTTTAGCATGTCTGGTGGGTGTGAGAGCATATGGAACAGGATGTGTCACTTGAATGTGCGTGATAAGCGACATACTCCAGTCTACAATCCAGTCTGCTGACAGCCTGTAAGAAGAGGTAATGTAGTCATCTGAGCTCATGCCCCCGGCGCGGCACACTGACCCTGCAGGTTGTGTCGTTTCCTGCGTCGGTGTCGTCGCCTCGAGACGGGGTGGTCGGGTGTCCCACAGCGCGGCTGGCGCATCTTGGCCACCGTGGTGTCGTCCATTAGCCCTGTACGGAGTGGAACAGGGGTCAGACCACCCTGTACGGAGTGGAACAGGGGTCAGACCACCCTGTACGGTGTGGAACAGGGGTCAGACCATGCCACTGTCGGCTGGAGGAAGTCGGTACTCTCAAGGGCATCATGTCCGCCGTTACTCCAGAGGGTGGTATGTCACAACGTGTGTCAAATGAGAGTCTATATATTTTAGCCCACATGCATCCTGGATTCGCAAAGTGTCCAGCATGCAACCTTTATAAATAGAACGGAGCTACACGCTCGTTATGTTGAATGATAAGCTTTCCGTGATTTGACAGCGTCGAGATAGCTGAACAATGCCCGACATGACAAAACAACCAGCAACTGACATAACTCACTCAGTAACTCACTCTCACTCTCACTGACCAGTGACGGGCAGACCGGCGAACTGTTGAAACTCGGCCAGTTTGGAGGAGAGCGACTGCAGCGACCCGAACCGGCTCTCTGTCGTGCTCACCCAGCCAAACTTGGCTAGGTACGCCTGTCGGGAATAGGTGGAGGAGGCGAGGGAAGGTCAGCTTCGCCGGTCAACACAACAACCTACCCACTGGCTTAATATACCTGCGGGCGGCTGCCGTTACTGACCCGTCCCTGAAGTAGTCTCACCTGTCCCTGGACGAGTCACTCACCTGTCCCTGAACGAGTCTCTCACCTGTCCCTGAACGAGTCTCTCACCTGTACCTGGACGAGTCTCTCACCTGTCCCTGGACGAGTCTCTCACCTGCCCCTGGACGAGTCTCTCCTGGGGCTGCTGCTGCAGCTGCTCCAGACGGGCCGGCGAGGGCAGGCTGGCAGCCGGCAGCACGGCGAGCACGGCCGGCAGCACGGCGAGCACGGCCCGTGCTGGGCGCGTCATCACCGGCGCGGGGAGCGGGCGCCGCTGCCGACGACCGACTGGCGGCTCCGACCCCGCCGTGTTGAACAGGCGCGCCGTCGGCCGGCGCTGGCACAGGGTCACGGGCGGGGTGACGCCGGCGGACCGTTACCGCTGACATTGACACCGCCCGCCGACGGGCATGGCACAGTGCAGCTGCTCTGATGGGGCGCGCTGCCTGCAGTGCAGGACTCTATTATGTGTTCAATGCCACCAGAACTGCTCTGTAACGTCCGTAACAGCCTGGCCTGTCCTGCGTTTTACCGGTGCCCTTGGTCAGCTGGTGTGGGTGACGTATGCGGTCATTGCGTCTCATTAATTGCTAATTACGGAATGCCTATTTATGTAGTTATGGGTGTGCGGCGGGTATTTTGATCCGACCGCGGTGCTCATCGGTTCTGAATTAATACATTCACCTTTCAGCCCCGAAAATAAAGATTACGGAAGAACGCGATGTCATTTATTAGTAGGTAACTGCATACATTGGTTGAGAAAGCATACTCGTACATCCATACATGCATACATCGTTCTGCATTTCGTAATTCAAGGTCATTTGCTCTAAGCGATGCTTTTGCTGTAGATAAATGTACCGAACTCCAAAGTGCGACTATGTTTGCCTTCTAACCTACTAACCTACAACTGATTTCAGTTTGTGTAAGGTCAAATGCCAACATTTTTCTTTGTAAACGCTGTGCTGTTTATGCATTAAAATATATACCGGGTGGCCCAGAAAAAACGTTCCGAACTTTGGAGGCCTATATATCAAATTCGAGTGCAAATAACGAGACAAATTTTTCAGCAAGTTTGCGTCATTTCTTTGCGCATTGGTATGCTAAATTATAACACTATACCATCATTTTCAAGCTGGCAATCTTGAGTTGAATTAAGCAAGACGTTTTTGCTTTTTTTGCCGATGTCAAACGATAGTGATGATTGGGTTAGACGCCCCATGTTATAAAAAAGAATAGAAAAATAGAGCATGTGAATGAAACCAACACGTATGTTCTTATTTTAAATATTTGTGTCTCACTTATGTGCCAAATATTCAAATACTGAGCCAAAATGGTGCTCATGGATGCCATTCGTTTTAACACCAAATCATGATTCGTGGCACGGTGCATGGATTACTGCTGATTACCCTCCTTTCAGTAGATCAAACAGTAAATCGACCGGATAAGGAAAACAAACTAAAACAGACTAGTTCCTGTGCCAGAAGACCACATAACATTTTATGAAAAACAACATTGCCAGCAGATGACAAAAAAAGAAAACTGGTTGAAAAGCTACCTTTTCCCAGGAATGTCAGCCAGGAAAGCATTTGAGCCACAAGATGGTTAGAAAACTGGAAACTTCTTCCGATGCCACTGGCACAGAGCCATCGTGGTTGCCTGATGGAATGTGTCATCCTGAGACCCGAACCATCAATGAGACTAGCTGCCAGTAGCAGCCAATGGCTCTAGGCCGTGGTGCCGAGGGGTGAAAGTGACCTGTTCACTCACATTTTTGAGTAAACATCGGAGCAAAAAAGTAATTTTTACATGGCATGCTTGAAACACGAACCGTTTAAAAAGTAATTTACCGAACACCATGAAAATCACACCATTTGCTGAAAATGTGTGCCGCATTGACTATTCGAAGTTTCAATGTTGTATCTTTATCACTTTCTGAGAAATATTGATTTAAAGTTGGGAACGTTTTTTCTGGGCCACCCGGTATAATATGCCTCTCGTGGGGGCTAACTGTATGTCATTCTTTCTTGATCACCCTGTATATGTTAGCACTGCCTACCACGTGTATAATTCAATATTCCAAGGTATGCATATAGACACATTGAGAAGCATACCTATTATTGAAAGCATATTGAAAAGCACACATATTCCTAGACCTCAGCTTATGGTTGCGACAGCAAAAATGGCCCCGAGGGCAATAGAAACGCAGCACCGGAGAGCTTAGAGCACTTCTCTGCCTTATCAGCAACAAGGGTGATACTGAGCAAGCAGCATTATATATAATTTGTAAAAAGTCTTAAATGAAAATAAGCTTCATGTTCGAAAACCAAGCCATGATATCTCCACTTCCCTTGGTGTGCCACGGTTCTGGTTATCTGGTTCAGTGGTCAGCAGCAGCGCTGCGGTTCGCTGGAAGTTTGTTGTCGGCATTGTCCAGTCGCTTCAGGATCTCCTGGGACAGCTCGCCCAGGTGGTTTGTCAGCTTCTTTGTCTCCTCCAGCTGCTGGGCCAGTGCCTCCTGCAGTTCCAGCGTCTTTCTCAGGTGATCAGACGGCGTCTGTAGAGCACCTGGCCGCGGCGGGTCGGAGAGGGGCCGGCGCTCGGTCAGGGTCTGGGCCGCCTCGGCGGTTTCTCGCTCCTGGACAATGCTGTTCAGGTCGCACCACAGACTGCGGTGCACGGAGTAGCGCCTTTTGCTGCCGTAGACGGTAACACGCGCTCTGCTGTCATTATCCTCTGCAGGACACACCACGAGGGTAACAGTGGAGGAGCCGTCATCGAACTGGCGTGGCAGCACACTGCGCCACTTGACGCAGAGTAGGACGGATGCCAGGCAGCCGAGGCGGCTGGGCATCCTATCCTGGAGCGTCTGCACATAGTGGAAGAGTGAGAAGACGGCGCGCTGGCTGACGGCCGTCAGGCTGGCCGTGTGGCGCAGGTACTCCGAGCTGCCCCTGGACAGGAACTGGTTCGAGTCGCTGATGGTCAGTGCCAGCAACATGTTCATCATTACCACCGGCACTGCCAGCAAAAAGAACAGGAAGATGGCGATACGAACCACGTATTCGGCCGGGCTCCACAGCCAGGCTTCATACTCGCTCCCCTCGGAGTAGGTGACTTGCTCGACATCGACTGCTCCAATGAACATTGCAGCGATCGTCATAATCATCAGATCTCCGCGAAAAACGCTGCCTCTTTGAATATGCTTGGCGTCCTTTTTCAGCAGCACAAAGAAGGCTAGCCCGAATCCGATCAGGATGGGCAGATAGAGCAGCAGATAGCGGACCATCTTACCCATCACATAGAGCAGAGCCGAGATGGCCCGGCACACCCGCCACGGGATGTGCTCGATGGCCAGCGCCAGCTCCAGGAAACCGAACAAGATGGCCACGGAGTGGCACAGCCGTGCGATCTCCCTGTGGGTGATGTAGATCACCAGGAACGTGGCCACGGTGGTCGTCGTCTCCAGCCAGAGGCGAGGTTTGAGAAACAACTCGGGGCCCATGAGTCCAATCTTCACCAGAAAAATCGTCACTCGCAGGATGTTGAACACCAGAAGCACGGAGCCGAGCGCGGAGCTGGCTTGCTCCAGCACCCGGTACGCGTCAAAGAACACCTTGGTGCAGAGAACGGCCAGGAAGATGGACATCAGGACCACGGTGAAGACGGCCAGGCAGACGGTGTCGTGCCGGGTGACTTCCAACAGCAGCTGCACGCTCGGGTGCCCGAACAGCTGACAGTGGCTGCTGCTCTGCAGGCGCTGCATCAGCTCCGTCTCAAACGGGCAGTCGGTGCCGATGTTACGCAGAGTCCGGAAGGAGACGCGCAGCGCGCCATCCCCGTCTGGCTGCACGGTCAGATCGAGCAGCTGGCGCAGCACCTCTGGCCGCGAGCGCAGCACGCCGTGCAGGTCGGCCGCGCTCAGCGCCGCGTCCGCCGACACCAGCTGGCGCACACACTCTGCGGAGCGCGCCTCCGCGAGCGGCGTGCGTCCGTCGGCGTCCCGGAGCAGCGCCGAGGCGCCGCGCTGCACCAGCAGCCGGACGGTGCGCGCACAGCCGCTCCGAGCGGCCGCGTGCAGCGCGCTCCAGCCGCGGCCGTCGGTGACGCCGGGGTCGGCGCCGCACAGCAGCAGCTGCTCTGTGCGCGCGCAGTCGCCGACCCCTGCCGCCACCAGCAGTGGTGACTGTCCGCAGAAGCCGCGCACGTCGGCTGCCAGCGGACTGTCGGCGCCGGTCGGTTCGACCTCCGCTGGGCGCTGGGATCCCTCTTCGCGCTCCGCCGGGCGCTGGGAGCCCTCTTCGCGCTCCACCGGGCAACGCGAGTGCTCTTCGCGCTCTACCAGGCGCTGGGTGCCCTCCTGGCGCTCTACCACGCGCTGGGTGCCCTCCTCGCGCTCTACCAGGCGCTGGGTGCCCTCTTCCTGCTCCGCCGGGCGCTGGGTGCCGTCCTCATGCTCCGCGGGGCGCTGGGATCCCTCGTCGTTCTCTGCGGGGCCAGACGTGAGTGTTGTGGCGCAGGACGACGAGGAAGGCTCCGGCGACCCTGAGGGGCGCATTTGCCCCAGCTCTGCCGGTCAAACCCATCAGATTAAACATATCTGAGCCGGCTCGGGCTTAGGGGAAAGTGGGGTAAGGCGGCCAGGGTAGGTAAAACGGCCACCCTTCTGCAGGCCAAACCAATAGCGCTACGATCGAAAAAAAAAAATGAGGGCCAGAGTCGCCTTCCCCACCATATGTATATCACCATTGAAGCCTGATGAATTTGTGTTCTGCCAATACTTTATTTCCGTTTCTTTAAAAACACTCATTTCATTCGAAACATCAATAGTCAGGGGCGGATCCAAGGTGGGGGGGGGGGTCACATGGGTCATGGCCCCCCCCCCTTGAGGCCCGGGGGCCCAAAGACCTGCCAGGGGCACCACCGGCCTATCAGGGGTATCACAGTCCTGACAGGGGCACCACAGGACCGCCAGGGGCACCACAGGCCTAACAGGGACACCACGGGCCTGGTGCCCCTGGGCCCTGACAGGACTGTAACGCCCCTGACAAGCCTGAAGTGTCCCCGGCAGGCACGTGGTGCCCCTGACAGGCCTGAGGCGCCCCTGCAAGGCCGGTGGTGCCCCTGGCAGGCCTGTGGTGTCCATGGCAGGCCTGTGGTGCCCTTGCTAGGCCTCTGGTGCCCCTGACAGGCTTGTAATGCCCCTGGAAGGACTGTGGTGCCCCTGGGCCCTGACAAGCCTGAGGTGCCCCTGACAGGCCAGTGGTGCCCTTGCTAGGCCTGTGGTGCCCCTGGCAGGCCTCTGGTGCCCCTGACAGGCTTGCGGTGCCCTTGGAAGGACTGTGGTGTCCCTGGGACCTGACAAGCCTGAGGTGCCCCTGACAGGCCCGTGGTGCCCTTGTTAGGCCTGTGGTGCCCCTGGCAGGCCTCTGGTGCCCCTAACAGGCCTCTGGTGCCATTGCGCCCGGAGAGGACTGGTGCCCCTGAAAAGTCTGAAGTGCCCCTCGGCAGGCCCGTGGTGCCCCTGACAGGCCCAAGGTGCCCCTGCGAGGCCGGTGGTGCCCCTGGCAGACCTCTGGTGCCCCTGGCAGGTCTGTGGTGCCCCTGGCAGGTCTGTGGCGCCCCTGGCAGACCTGTGTTGACTGGTGCCCCTGCTAGGTCGCTGGTGCCCCTCACAGACCTGTGGTGCCCCTGGGCCTTGACAAGCCTGAGATGCCTGGCTATGACAGGCTCGTGGTGCCCCTGATAGACCAGTGGTGCCCTTGCTAGGCCTGTAGTGCCCCTGGCAGGCCTCTGGTGCCCCTGCTACCCCTGCGCCCGGAGAGGACTATGGTGCCCCTGAAAAGCCTGAAGTGCCTCTCGACAAGCCCGTGGTGCCCCTGGGCCCTGACAGGCCCATGTTACCCCTGCGAGGTCGGTGGTGCTCCTGGCAGGCCTCTGGTGCCCCTGGCAGGTCTGTGGTGCCCCTGGCAGGCCTGTGTTGACTGG